GTAAGTGTGAAGTGGATCTTCAGTTGTTTGTGAATATACTTCATAGTTAGCTATAATTATACATCTGATGGAAATAATTTATATGAAGTAATTTGTGACGTTCATCTGGCGTAGTGCTGGGTGCTTAGTAGGTACTAAGTACTGCCTTCCTTTTTTTTTTTTTTTTTTTGAGCCAAGGTCTCGTTATGTACTTCAGAGCTGGCCTTGAACTCATAGTGATCCTTTTGCCTCAGCCTCCTGAGTGCTGGGGTTGTAGGCCTGTGACACCACGCTTGGCCTGTCTTCTTCATATTCTTTGGTGTGTGACTGGTAAACATGTTAGTTCTGAAATTTTATTTGTTTCTTTGTTGTAGAAATGATGATCCATCCACTCATTCATGGATGGAAGTTCTGAGATGTTTTTCCAACTATTGCTATTGTTTTTGTCTGGCTCTCTTCCTAGGGGGCACTGAGTGAACTATTCGAACTGTTTGTTTAATTTATGTTATTAGTTTCTCTATAGAGTTTGCATACTTACTGTCAAGGGACATTTTTCTGTGGTGCTATATGTGGAATGAGAAATTTTCATCTAAGGATTCTGGTTCTTTTAGGTGAGAAATACTATTCACTAGCAACCTGGTTGAGAAAGCAGTTATGGGTACTAATGCTTTTAGGACTCAGCCAGCCATAGATAGAATTGTTGATTTCTGTTTTCTTCTATTTTTTTTTTTCTTTTGTCTTTTTGAGACAGGGTCTCGTGGCTTTGTGCTCACCTGGTAGCCCAGGCTGGTCTTGATCCTCTTGCCTAAGCCTCTGGAGTGCTGGGGTTACGGGTTTGCACCACCACTCCCAGCCTCGTTTTGTGTTTTTTTTTTAAGCAAGAAAAACCCTATGAATTTATAGTGGTATCTCCAATTGAAGTGGAAGATTATAGTGTTAGTACTTCAACTTTTTGCTTACCTTTTATTGTTAGCAAAAATTTTCATTTCAGAATACAACAATACTTGTTTTGTAGCTGTTTGTAAATTATAAGCAGTAGGGACATTAGCATAGACTTATTAGAGGTGCAGTTTAATGCAGAATAATGAAATCCAGTTGTTGCTGTATTTAGGGCGAACTCAAAATATTGGCTTAATTGAATCTTAAATATGAAAATATCCAACTCTTACACATTTTCACTAGATTTTTTTACTCTGATTAATGTTAGTGCAATATACTTTAATTATTGATCGATGTTAGTTCTCAGATTTATTGCTTCAGTTTCATTCTTTGCAGAGAACCTAGATTATGATATTCTTGCCCTAATGGTTTTAGATTTTAAGACTTATTTCTGGAGATTTTTTTTTTTATTTAAATAAATTCTCTTTGCTTTAATATTTTGTGTTTTAGGTCTTGGCTGTTAGGACAATTCATGAGAAACTTCTCTGTTTTTTGCCTGCCAATGAAGAGAAAATCATGTGCCTGTCTCGGGTGTTTGAACCTTTCACTGGCCTGAATCCCGCGCAATACAATCCATATACTGAGGTTGAGCATATACGTTTTTATGTCTATATGATTTTCTGTTTGCATTTTTCTTTTTAATAAATAGATTTTTAAAGTATTGAAGTCTAATTGTGTTGTTAATTTATTCAGCCTTTATGGAAAGCTGCAGTGTCTCAGTATGAAAAAATTATTGCACCTGCCGAACAAAAGATAGCAGGAAAGTTGAAAAATTATATCTCAGAAATTCAAGACAGTCCACAACAGGTAAAAGATTGAAATATTTCACTTTTAATATTTTCCTTAAGCTGTTGGTCTGTGTGTGTGTGTGTGTGTGTGTGTGTGTACAAAGTCAACTGATTGGGATGAAAATGTACTTATTTTATTTTATATTAGCTTCTTCAGGCATTTCTGAAATACAAAGAATTGGTGAAGCGTCCAACTATAAGCAGAGAATTGATGTTGGAAAGAGAGACTTTACTGGCAAGACTTGTGGACTCAGTTAAAGGTAAACATTTATCAGAGATTGGTGTTTGAGAAAATGTTTTTGTAGATTAATTTTTGTTGCATATCATTTATGATTAAGACCATATGTTCTGACATTTTTATATTGAGGATTAATTCATTTCTGTTATGAATGACAGATTTTTTGGATTTTTTTCTGTTTTGGTTTTATCTAAAACATTGAGCATAATGTTTGGTACATGGAAGGCATTAAGGAAATCCTTGTTAACTATGTGTAATAATTTTTGAAATTTAAATTTCATAGATTTTCGATTAGATTTTGAGAATCGATGCCGAGGGATTCCTGGTGACGCATCTGGTCCACTTGCTGGCAAAAATCTATCAGAAGTTGTCAATAATATTGTTTGGGTTCGTCAGTTGGAATTGAAGGTATTTGTTTAAATAAAAGTTGAACAGTACTAGTAGGTCTACTAAAACTGTTATATAAAATTCAGCATTTTTCTTGGCATATCCATTTAGTTTTCATGAGGTATACAGAAGCATATAAAATATATATATGAATATAAATATATGCATCACATATATGAAGTGTACTATGGAGAAAATTCTTGTGCCTGTATTCATTGCATGTATGGAGATACTTTTCAAGTCATTTGTCATTCAAATGCATTTTTTTTCAAGAAAGTACCTTACAAATTATGCAAGAGTAACATAATTTATACTACATTTATTTATTTATTTATTTTTGGCGGTACTGGGGATTGAACTCAGGACCCTGCGCTTACCAGGCAGGAACTTATTCTGCTGAGCTATCTCCCCAGCCCTATACTACATTTAAAAACACATAATTGAATGAAAAAAGACATAAAAAAAGAAAAAAAATGTCACAGGACTGTCCTGCTACAATGCTGTATATGGTTAGATTTCTAAATTTCTGTGTAAAAATAGGTAATTATTCATATTCTTTAAATGTTTTTCATTTTTTAAATTTTTATCTCCATATTCTGTAGGGACTCAATGTTTAACATATCAATACTTGATGGAAAATACCTGTTCCATGTTATGCCTAAGATGTTTGATATTCAGACAGATAGTGAAGTTAAACCCAACTGCATAAGATGTAGGGTAATAATATGCTTCTCTTTTGGAGGGTTAACAACCTAAGTTTTTAGACCAAAAATTAGTGAAAGAGAAGGGCTGCAAGGACAGCCAACATTTTGACCATAGGCTTTCAAAGTCAGTGAAGACTCAGGACATAGGAGAACCTATACTGTAACATCTTGTAACTCATTTGTGTCCCAAATTTTCTGATCAAGGAGATTATGGGGCCACAGAGCAATGTGATTGATGATGTAGAGTGTGCCTAAGGAGAGTCACCTGGAGAGAAAACATTCTCTCAGGCTTTCACAGAGAGCAAATTGGTCAGGCAGTGGCCCTGACTCATCTACATGGCTGACACTGACAAAGGATCTGCACACTGCGATACAGGGTTACAAGATAAATTCTGAGGGCACTTGACTGACCTTATCAGATACAAAAGTTACATTTCTTGTTATACAGGTCTTGCTTTGTCTTGTTCTTAACCATCCAGCAGAAAAGTATAAAACCGAGATACATAAAGTAAAGCCATATTAATATGCTGAGCTGTGAAAGGCTCAAGTCAACAACTTCTGTGGATAACCCACTACTATTGTGGACTGCTGGACGGTGTTGGATTGTTTTGATGAATTCACACACCCATAGTATTTAGATGCCAATGGAATACCCATTTCTGACAGGACTAAACAAAAAAAGGCGATACAAAGGAAGGACCATTTTGTATCTGTATATGTGGAATAGTTAGGATAGATATACAGCTACTTTCACTTAATTTAATGAGGAGAAAGATTTGTATTGATAGTGTTTGCACAGGATATTCTGTCTGCATCTTATACTACGGATAACCACTAAGAAAATAACAATGTACAGTGTATTAATTATTGAAACTGTCCTATTAATCAGTTTTGGGAAAAAAAAAAACCTAGAAACTTAAACATTTTAGGAGTTTTCCCCCAAGAAACTTAGGATATATTGACAGTTCTGTATTGAAAGAACTCAACATCCTAGGGCCAGTGAGATAGCTCAGCAGACTAAGTGCCTGTTTAAGGAAGCACAGGGACCAGGGGTTCAATCCCCAGCCCCACATACTGCCTGGCCCTGGCCCTGCCCCTGCCCTAGGTGCACCAAGCCAGCCACTGAGACTGGGTGTGCTGGTACATGCCTGTAATCCCAGCACTGGGGAGGCTAAAAATGGGAGGATCACTATGAGTCTGAGCTGCATAATGAGACCCTGCACCAAATATGTAGGAAAAAAGAAAAGAACTCAAGGGGCCAAGGAGATGGCTCAGTGGAATAAATGCTTCCCTGGCAAGCGCAAGGGCCTGAGATCAATCTCTAGTTCCACCAAAAAAAAAAAAAAAAAAAAAAAAAAAAAAAAAAAAGAAGAAAAGAAAAGCAAAAACAAAAACACATAATTGCAAGATACTGATTTTTTTTTTGTTTACTTGTTTGTTCGTTTTGTGGAACTGGGGATTGAACTCAGGCCCTTGTGCTTGTCAGTCAAGTGCTTATTCTACTGAACCACCTCCCCGGCCCCAAAATATTGTTAAGTGCAAAGTTTATTTGCAAATACATTTATATAATTAAATCTAAACTTTATTAACTTTAGGTTAAAAAGCTTAGGTTGAAGGGAAGTTACAGGAACCAGGTGTAGTGGTGCATGCCTGTAATCCCAGCACTCAGGAGGCTGAGGCAGGAGGATGGCTGTGAGTTTGAGGCCAGCCTGTGCTACAAAGTGAGCTCAAGGCCAGCATGAACTGCATAGTGAGATCCTATCTCAAAAATACATACACAAAAAGGAAGTTACAGGAAGGTTGAAGGTAACTGTGGCATTGTCTAAGATAGTAATAGCAATTTATAAATTTAAAAGGCTATGATTTTAGTATTAAAGTTGACCTATGACTCTTTATCAATCTTCTAGTGAGTGGTAGAGTGTTTTGCATTAAATCATAGAACAAATACTTGAGTATGGTTTCTGATCAAGGTAACAGGACTCCTTACAGCACTAGTGTTACCAAAGCTATTATGTTTGAAAATTCTATTTAATCAAGTTTATATTTTTTTATTTATTGGAATATTCTACCTGATACTATCACTCATCTTTCTAGATTGCTAAAATATTCTATGGCATACAATTACAGTAGAAATATACTTTTTTCTGGATATTCAAATTAGTATTATTGTTTAAACTGTTATAGCATTTAGCTAACCATTTTAGGATTAATGTTGAACTTCTTGAGGTTTTCTATGAAAATGAGTGGTGCCCAAATGTTGTGAGACTTTACTTCTCTCATTTTACCCTTTAAATCCTGCCTTGTCTTGGTTTTCTCGTGTTTTGTTATTCTGGTGTATAAAATTCAGAAATAGAGGGTAATATTCTTATTAATATTCTTCTCTCATGTTCTCTGAAATGTCTGTTCTACTGTTTATAGATGAAAGGGCAAATAATTTCTGAATCACGAATCAGAGAAAGTAGGTCCTTCCTTTACACTAATTTTGTTCGAATTTGTGTAATGCATATCTTTGAAACTTGATCTCCTAAGGTCGGTGACGCCATCAAGACCGCAGAGGCTCTTCTGTCTGACCTGGCCGGGTTTCGATCTTTCCATCGAGGTGCGGAAGATCTCTTAGACCAGTTTAAACTCTATGAACAAGAACAGTTTGATGATTGGTCCAGGGACATTCAGTCAGGGTTGTCTGATTCCAGATCAGGTTTGTGGTAAGTATAAAAATACCTAACTATAAAATAAAAAGCCGTGTGTTACTAATCCAAATTCAAGATATAATTAATCTCTTTCCTTTTTTCACACTTGCTGCTACTCCCATATTTTTTGTTTGTTAGCTGATCTTTAATTTTGAAGTCTTTGAAGTTGGACATTTTCATGATACAGTTAAGCTCCCTGCCGGCCTCCTCCTCCCTTCTAAGGTCCGTTCTTGGAATGCCGATTTGAGTTTGGCAGTGAGGCTTTCCTTTCTCCGTGGTTTTTTGTTAGAAAGGTTTGTATATTTTACTGCTGTTTTACGTTGATATTGCACAGACACATGCTTCACACTGAATTGTATTGAGCTCTTTGAACAGGGCGTTCGTTTTTAATTGTCCCTGTCGCACAATCAGTGTTCGGTAAATATTAAGGTCTTACTGACTGTGCTTATTTATTGTAACAAGGACTTAAAAGTAACAGTTTAAAGGAAATTACGTTTTTGCTGTAACTGGGCTCATGTGTCCCAACAGTATTTCTGTTTGTAGGTTTAGAAACTTACAATGTCTTTATGTTTCCCCTGTGGCCCTAGGATCACATGCAGGGCTCTGCGCATGTGCTCCACCACTGAGCTGCACGGCCGAGACCCTTTATTTTTCTTAGAAGAGCAAGGATCTCCCTATGGAGCGCGTGTTGCCCTTCCTACCCCAGCCTTCTCAGTAGTTTTAGGACAGAAAGCGTCCACTGGCATGGCCAGCCATGCCTTTGAAAGTGACTTCGCTCATAATGTAAGGAGATGCTTGTTTCCCCCACACTGCTACACGGGATAATTGGGTCAAAAGTGGAGCTAAGGTACCATTTGTTACTAAAGTAACAAACACTTGTATTATTTTTTCTTACCTCGAATTCTGGCTCTGGAGGAAAAGTAGAAAAACCAAAGCATTCCAGGACATACTGATTACTGCTTTGTGACAATTAACTTTTTTCCTGCCCACTTCCGACCTAAACCATGAGCGATGTTGCAGCAGCCCTCCCTCCCACCACCACCATTAGTTCTTTAGTCAATTTATTTTGGGTTATTTGCTTACTTTATCACTCTTACTCCAGGAGTGGTCATTCATGTGTGATGTGTCAGGGGCTGAGGTCAGTTGGAAGGATGCCGTTTTAACTTTGTGCAGCTTAGTGTCAACTTAGTGTTCCCATCTTTCAACAAACTATCTTCTTTTCATTTTTGGCATAAAACCTATTATTACCCTGTAAAATCCTCAGTGTGGTTTTTTAGAACAGTTTTGGAAATACTGCTGTGCACAAATGAATTTTGAAGGTCACTTCTGAGTATAGGCAAAAAGAGTTATCATTGAGTTTCCTGACATGTGCTGTATGTGAATATAGCAAAGTCTGGGCTAAATTATTGCATAAGGCCACTTGAAAGTGTCTATGTTGTACTATGATTTATTTGCTAGTAGTAGGCTGAGTAGGTTTGTTTTTGTGTTTCAGTAGGTAGATTTCTAAAACTTGCACATTTTCTTAATTTTTCAAAATGGTTAACAACAAGAGGCATTATAAAAAACTATTTCTAAAAGGAAGATAATGAAAATGTACTACCTTATACTTAATTTAGCTCACAGTTTTCCTAAGCTATGCCTATTAGCGTGGATCAAAATAATATTTGCTGTTAACGTCGTCAGAGAAACACAGTGAAGGGCTGATCCTCAGGTTGTGAAACGAATGCGGAAGAATAAAGCATTGAGCTGCTGTGTTCTTACCATCTTGGCTTTTATAAATCACTGTTTACTGAAAATATTAAAGAAGCAAGGAGGTTAATTTAAAAATCTGAAATATCATTAGAAAATATATCATATCTTTTCTTTATATGGTTTAGTTTTTAGTCTTAGTTGACTTTTCTGACTTTAAAAATGCTTGGTTGTAATACATGTGGTTTGTTTTCAAATTCTTGATTGTGAGGTAATGTGAAAAATATGATTTTAAAAGCTGAAAATAAAAAAAAATGTTAGATTTACAGAAAAGTTTAAACAACTGTTGTGTCTTTCTTCCTTCAAAAGAATGAGCCCATGACACAAAGCGCACTCTTTTTCTTTCTTTTGTAGTATTGAGGCCAACAGGCGCATCATGGAGCTGGATCCTAACGATGGGTCGCTGAAGGTGCACTATTCAGATCGCTTGGTGGTTCTTCTGAGAGAAGTGCGTCAGCTCTCGGCCCTGGGCTTTGTTATTCCTGCTAAGGTACAGCAGGTCGCCAACATTGCGCAGAAATTCTGCAAGCAAGCAATTATTCTTAAACAAGTATGAAATTTCATTTTTCATAATATGCCTACTGTGCATTTGTTATATTAATCTAAAATATGTCAAGGACCTTGTATTCTGCTTTTTTTAAGCTGATAGAATAGAATTGTTACCTTGTGAAATTATGATTTGTTAAGTGACTACACTATAAAAATTATTTTGTAAACTATAGTAGTTTATTAATTTGAAGTGTTCTCTTCTTGGTTTTTATTGTAAAACATTTACAGAAGTAGAACTTTATAATTTTTCTCTTTGGTGTTACTAAAGTTTTTTTTTTTTTTTGTCTTTTTTTGAGACAGGGTCTTGCTATGTAGCTCAGGCTGGCCTTGAGCTCAATTTGTAGCCCAGGCTGATCTCAAACTGGCAGCAGTCCTCCTGCCTCAGCCTCCAGAGTGCTGGAATTCCAGGCATGCACCATGATGCCCGGTTACTAAAGTTTTAAAGGAATTTCTAATTGAAGAGTCATCTGCCTGCCTTTTGGGCAGATTTTTAGAGAATTCCTGAACTAGTGGATTGGTCTTTGTTTTTCTAGTCCTTTCCTCACTCTGCTTATTTATGCAGCGCTGTCACGTCATTTCTGTATTTGAAACTAACTCTTACATCTCACAGTCCCCGTAGCCTGGTGTAGAGCCCTGTGTAGTCATGTTCTTATTAACCTTACTCATTTGGCCCTCACTGCCTATACTTTCCCCTCATATTGTGTCCTGTGTGCACTAGCTTTGTGTCACCATAACAAATAACTGAGATAGATAATCAATTTACATAGAGAAAAGATTTATTTTGGCTTTCAGGTTTGGCAGTGCCAACCCATGATTGACTTTTTCCCTTGCACGTGGCCCTGCGGCGAGGCAGCGTTTCATGGTGGGAGCGTGTGGTTGTGATGACCACTCACCTCCTGGCTGGGAAGCACAGCAAGAATGCGGAGGGGTGGAGAAGTCCTAGGATCCCCTTCAAGGGCATCCCACTGATGAGGAAAGACCTTCCCTGGGCTCCGCCTCTTAAAGGTCCTATCACTCAAGCAGTTTGTTTTTTAGAGATCAAGCTTTTCAACACAAGTGTTGTTGAGGGACATTTAAAGTCTAAACTACAGGGCTGGGGATATAGCTCAGCAGCATAAGTGCTGGTCTGACAAGTGCAGTGTCCTGAGTTTAATCCCTGGTACCACACAAAAAATCTAAACTACAGCGTTAATCTTTTTTTTTCCTTTCTGTATTTAGGGCAGGGTCTACAGGGTGTTGAGGGTCTTACTACAGAGATTGGACTCGTAGTGATTCTTCTGTTTACAGCCTCCCAAGTGCTGGGATTACAGGTGTGCACCACCACATCCAGTCTCAGTCTGTCTCAGTGTGCCCTGGTTGCGGGGCCGGTGTGGCACACCGGGGATCAAACCCGGATACTGTGCTCTGCCTAAGCAGGCACTTTAGAGCTATCAGGCCAGCCCCAGCTTTAATCTTTGGTACTATGAAACTTGGCTTTTCTCTGAGCATGTATCTATGCAGTAGTATCATTTCTCTCTCACTGGAAAATTCAGTACCAGTGTTTGAATCTTAACACAAAGTCACTTTTTCTATTGTGTATTCCTTTAGTTGATACTTCCATATTCTGTGTGCAGTGCAGAAATCCTTGTAAAGCTTTTTTTTTTTTTTTCAAGTACTGGGCATTGAATCCAGGACCTCATATGTGCTAGGCAAGGGCTCTACCACTGAACTATATCCCCAGCCCTAGATTCTTTTTAACTTTTCTCTTATTATATGTTAGAAAGCAGGAGTAGTATCTTGCATATTTAGCTTTTCTTTTATTCAACAAAAATTCATTTAGTACCAGCTTTGCTGCATATTGTATAATGATGTGAAAAAGATCTTGTACTTTGGTACAGCAATTCTTACCTTTTCACTTTTGATAGTTAGGCCAATATTGTTCTCCCGCTAGGGAAATGTCCTCTGCAACTTGCCTTGGTTAGCAGTATGCCTGGCCTATGCTTAGAGTATTCCAGTAGCAGCTTCCTGGTACTGAGTGTGAAAAATAGCTGTATAGAAGGCATTGCCAGGTGTCCCCTAGGCCGTCAGCCGGCTTCAGTTGGGAACTGCTTGTCTAGTGGAAAAGAATAAACTTACCGTTGAACACTGATTAAATACCAGACTTTGTGGTATAGGCTTTATTTATGTTAGTATACTTTTTCCTTATCAGTTATTTTATTTTATTTTTAAATAAAAAAGTCATTTATTTATTTATTTATTTGATACAGGGTCTCACTGCATAGCTCAGACTCATTCATAGTGTTCCTCCTGTCTTAGCCTCCCCAGCCCTGGGATTACAGGTGTGCGCTACCACACCTAGTTTCAGTGACTCACACAGGGTGCCCAGGGTCGAAGGCCTGCATGGCATGTGGTACCAGGGATTGAACCCGGGTCTTTGAGTTTGCCAGGCAGGTGTTTAGGCTGCTGAGCTATCTCTCCAGCCCCATCAGATAATTTATTTCTCCATAGTTTTATTTACCTGTGGTCAACTGGAGTTTAAAAATTTTAAGTGGAAAACTCCAGAAATAAGCAATTTATACTTTTAATATTGCACAACATTGTGAATAACATGGGCAAAACTCACACTGCCCTACTGCTTCCTGTTTGGGATGTGTTTCATCCCTTTGTTCGGTATGTCTATGCTGTGAACGTTAGCAGCCCGTAGTAACCATTTTGGTTGGCAGATCTGCTTACTTTCATAGTATTCCATGTGTTTCAGTAACTTTTATTTTATTTAATAATAGTTCCAAAGCACAAAAATAGTGATGCTATTAATTCAGTGTGCCAGAGAGTAGCTGTAGAATGGTTCCTTTAAGAGGAAAATTCCCAACTTACTAAGGAAAGACAGCAGTTGTTACTGAGGCTGATGTGTATGTTGAGAATGAACGCCTGGAAACTGGAGGAGAAAACACAAATTTGTGCTGGTTTCACAGCCAGTTGCAAGCTGCAGACACAGTACGCGATAGGCACTTGGGGTAGAAAAGGCATTCAATTTGGGGCTCAGCGCAGGGTGCAGTTTCAGGCACCCACTGTGGATCTTGAAATACATCCCCTGTGGATGAAGGTTGGCTGCTGTATTTCAGTCCACCCTCCATTTTCCCACTGATCTAATTGCAAGCCATGCATGTTGCAGTTGTTCTAGGGTCCCCTAGCTAGCGAGGCACGCAGCCAGGGTTTGACCCGAAGTCTCTTGGGCTACAGAGCCCTTACTTAGTCATTGTCTGTACAGTGGTGGCGCGTGTGTGAACAAGCAGATACAATATTTAATGTATTAGAAGGGTACGTTACAGCCAAAGTCCCGTGCAGCGTAGAGGCGGGGATTTCCCCTGCTGCCCCAGGGCAGACACAGGAGTAGTGTCACGAATTCATTTCAGAGGATTGACGCTTTGCGTGTCTGGAAGAGTGTGGATGTGTTCTCTCTGGCCTATGAGGAGGTGAGTGCTTATTTGAAGTGGAGAGGTTTGCTCACTTTTGTAACCTATGTATTTATCGCAGAAGGGGCTCAACAAGTGAAGGAATGATCATGTTCTTTTTATGCTTAGCCCTGAAGGAGCAACTGGGGAAATCTGTTTGCGTAGGTAGCTTTGTTTAGGAGCACATATGTAGCTGGAGTAGAGAGGAGGACGTAGGCTGTGGGGTCAGAGCAGTGTGGCCGGATTGGGTGCTACTTTGGTTTTGTTGCTTCCAGGGTTCCTGATTGTGCTTTTCTGCCTACCGCTTGTGTTCTGTCTTTGGCACTGAGTACTGATCCCGGGTCTTGTGCACGCTCTGCAGCTGAGCCATATCCCTAGCTGCGCCTGCTTGAGTGGTGCTAAACAAGTAGAGTGGCTGTTTGCCACCAAATAAAGTATACTTGCACTCATATTAATGGAAAAAGACAGTACAGTTGTTTATTTTATAAACATGTACTGTGTGCCAAGAATTTTTTGAGGTGATGGAGAAAAAAATATTAAAAACTATCATACCTTTAAAGTCCTCAGACTCATCCCAGAGTAGCCGCTTTATCTTTAATGGCCACTGCATTTCTTCTTGTATTTATTTCACATGCTCCCTCACCAGGGATTGAACTCAGGCCCTTGAGCTTGCCAGGGAAGCGCTTATTCCACTGAGCCATCTCCCTGGCTCCTAGCTGCTTTGTCTTTTTCATGAACCTTTACTCTTTTTTTTTTGAATCAGGAGTTGAGCTCAGGCCCTCACACTTGACAGGCAGGCATGCCACTGAGCTATATGCCCAGCCCTACTTTTTTCTTTCTCCCCAATCTCAAAAGTCCTTATGTTGAGCATATGCTCTGGCCCCTTTCCAGCCTGTGTTTCTATATGTTGATTCTGTGACTAATTCAGTAGACATTTATGTCGTGTATCTTCTGTCTGCTTGCCACTGTTTTAGGGCTGTCATTCCAGTACCAGAGACAGATAGTAAGCACGTAGATGTATAGTATGTTAGATAGTGAAAAGTACTTTGAATGAGAATAAAATATAGTAGAGAGATGGTTAAAAAGCTGCCACTTCACAAGGAGTGCTCCCAGCAGGCCTTGAGGGAGAGGCGCTGTCTGAGAGCAGCAGGGACGCGAGGTGAGCAGAAGAGCCGTGCGAATGCCTAGAGGAAGCCTTTTGGGTGGAGCGGGTGACAGACGCGGATTTCTGGCTCAGTAGGGTGGAGTTCAGAGGAGGCAGTTCAGTTGCAGAGAAGTAAGGGAGAGGTTTGTGATGGGACTGAGGTGCGCGTCAAGTAGAATCTTGTGTGCCAGGCAAGGGCGTGGGTTTTACCTTTGGATTTCAGTTGTTATTACCTTGGGAAACTGTTGGAAGGCTTTTATTGAGAATTTAGGGATTTTGGATTTTATTCTCAAGTCTATTGGGAAGTCTCGTGTTTTCAGTAGGCAAGAGATGTGCTATAGGTAAGACACACCGCTCTGGTTTCGTAGATCGTGAGGGCCAGGGCTGGCTGCAGGCGTACGGAGCAGCAGTGCTTGTTACACTTCTTGCCAAGCGATGAGGGTGCGTGGCGTGGAGTGAGGTTGATGGGAGCTGTGAAGTGGTTGAATTCAAAGTAGAGTTCTGAGCTTACAGGGATATATGTATTTTTAAAGTATAGTAATTGGTTTTTTTTTTATATTTATTATTCTTTTGCAGTACCGGGAATTGAACTCAGGACCCTGCGCTTGCCAGGAAAGTGCTTGTTCTACTGCGTGATCTCCCTAGTCCCAGTAATTGGTTTTTATGACATGAAATGTGAGAGAAGAGTTAAAGACAGATGGTTTTGGTGTCAGAAATGGATAAGCCATGGTGGTGTAGGTAGAAGAGGACGGTGCAGGTTTCGAGCGAGGCAGGAGCAAAGAATTCAGATTGCTAGCAGTCACCATGCTGCTGGGTTTCTGTCTGCTGTAGGAGGCTGTGAGCTTGAGCCCAGGGAGGTTTTATTGCCTTTGTGTGATGTGCCTCTGGATGTGAAGTGACGGTGTAGAGGAACTCAGTGTGGGTGTGTTCGTGGTGTGCAGGGCTCGTGAAGAAATCCTGTGTGAGATAGAAAACTATGAGTTAGTCTTAGGATTGAGGAGAGCTCAGTTACCGTTCAAACCATTGCAAATGAAGAAGACTGAAAGCTGAGGTGTGGAGCTCGTGCCTCTTGCCAGTCCTTCCTAACCGGGCTTTCCTTTGCAGGTGGCGCATTTTTACAATTCTATTGACCAACAAATGATCCAGAGTCAAAGGCCCATGATGTTACAGTCTGCCTTAGCATTTGAACAGATAATTAAGGTAAATGCACTCTTTTTATAATTACATTTTACCTGTAAGATATTTGTTTTAAAGAATACTGTAATATGTAAATGTTTTTATTAGTATCATTAATTTCGCCAAGTACTGTGTTGCTGTGTGATAGTTTGTTATACGCATATAGTACATTTTTATCGCATTCCCCACCCCTCCCCTCCCTTCCATGCTTTCTTTGAATCCCTGTTCCCACCTCCTGTCTAATAGTCATCTCTGTGACGTGGCTCTTGGCAGTAACCCTCACCTTAGCAGAACCCCTGAGCTCGACTTTCTTTTACTCTCCAGCAGTTTCCTCCACTCCTAACAAGTAAGATTCTTTTTTAGCTATAGATTTAAATGACTTTAGTATTTCACGTATGTTGGTGTTTGTTTTAATCGTATTGATGTTTTGTGTATGATCTACATGCTATTATGTTTATTTTTCCTTGGTGTTTGAGGTCTTTATGTACAAGGTTCATTAGCAGCTTTCTGCTGTCCTTTGACTTTGTTACCTAAGAAGTATTTGCCCTTTATGGGTGCTTATTTACACGTCCACACATGAAATGAGGAAAACCCATAGTGATGTTTAATTATAGCTTACTGTGTGATCAGCAGCTTTTTGAAGTTTCTATTTTTAATCTTCATAGACATTAGAAGAGAAGAGCATTTCGTAGGGACAGCTAGCTGTGTGGAGGCCGTCAAGATCACTCCCGTGTCCGGTTGCTCACTTGGCGGAGTTCAGAATTCAGTGTATAGCTGTCCTGCTGAGACTCACAACTCAGTCGTACTTTCAGCAGTAGCTCGCAGAAGGAAGCAGACACAAAACAAAATTAGGAAAGAGCAGGATTCATGGATTTAGTCCTAAGAAACCAGGTTGTAAGCTTCCGAGCAGCCTCGTCTCTAGCTCCACACAGGCCTGTGTAGTGCTCGCAGCAGTCCTGGTAGTGCATGCGAAACGCTATCATGCAGGGATGGTGATTAGAGGCGCAGCACTCAGTTTTATGTTAAGGGCTGGGCATGTGGGCATTTTCGGTGTACTGTATACCCAGATTCTTAAGTTCTGGATGGAAAACGTGTTTAAACACTGTCATAGTTACTCCTCTCTCGTTGCTGGGACAAATACTGGACACTCAGAATGAAGGAAGGAAAGGTTCGTTTAGCTCACAGTCACTGGAGTTTCAGTCCATATTCAGCTGGCTCCAAGGCAGAGCAGCACAGAGTAGAAAGCAACCTTTCATGGCAGTGGCAAAGAGCAAGAGAGAGCTCCAGAGGAGTAGCAGCAGCTCCAGCAACTAGCTTCTCTTCCCACCATACATTGAAATACAAATTATCTGCCCAGGGCAGGTCAGCATCTACACCAAGAGTACTAAATCGCAAACTCCAGAAGCTGCCCCATGACTGCATGAGGCTTTGGGGGGACACCTCGACACAAACAGTAACAAACACAAACGTACATTTAGGTAAGGGAGCAGTTCTTATCCGGTGGATGGCAAGGTCGTTCTAGAAATGGAGGTTTTTAGATGCCAGCTCAGGGTTAAACTTTTAAGAAGTCTTTTCTGATGATAGAAATATTATCTTAGTTCTTTTCTGCACATTACTAATCAAACTTAAAATTTATGAGAAGTTACATAGTTTAGACTGTAATAGACAAAGACAAGTTTATAATGAAAAGTTTTAAGAAGTCCTATAATACTACCATGACATGGCAATTTTGAACAGCCAGGTGTATATCTTTAATTTTTTTCCTATGCTTTTTTTTTTTGAGGATGAATACGTGTTTCCTTTATTTTGCTTTTCATTCAATCTCCGATGTATTGTGTCAGTTATTTGATTAGAGTTCTAAGAGACATGAGTAAAAATTGCATTTACTTACAATAACAAAGAAACACAGAACTAATAAATTTATGAAACTAAGCCAACAGCGGTTGACCGTGTAATTGTTTACATCTCTTCCGTGACACATCATGCCTCTATGTGCATTCTTTCTCCTGACTTTGTGATCAGAGTGACAGCAATCCCTGTGCTTATTTTGAAGATGGAATCACGTATAAATTTGAGTTCCTGCCCTCCAAAATTCTATCATGCAGTGAGTGGCGGAAGAGTTACGGAGATCCTTAGTATTCTGTTAAGTGCCATCTTCGTTTTTTGTCCACTGTTGTATCTCACTTAATATATGCTAGCTGTAACTTCTTCTCATGAGACAGTCTTGCAAAATAAGGTTAGGTCACTTCAGAAATGTTGAGAGGTGCCAGGAACTCAAAAAGAGAGTGGTTTTGTCTTAGTCGCTGTCCCATCTGCTAAGGCCTAACACCTGGCACCTGCACCAAAGGGCTCCAAGGCAGAAGCAGGATGCAGAGAGGTACAGAGGAGGAAAAGGTGCCTCACCTGTGGGGGCGGGGAGGAAAAAGGTCCCTACCTGTGGGGACAGGGGACGAAAAGGTGCCCCACCTGTGGGGACAGAGGAGGAAAAGGTGCCCCATCTGTGGGGGGGCAAAGGAGGAAAAGGTGCCCTACCTATGGGGACAGGGCAGGAAAAGCAGCCCCCCTGTGGGGACAAGGGAGGAAAAGATGCCCCACCTGTGGGGGGCAATGGAGGAAAAGGTGCCCTACCTGTGGGGGGCAAAGGAGGAAAAGGTGCGCCACCTGTGGGGACAGGGGAGGAAAAGGTGCCCTGCCTATGGGGGTACTGGAGAAAAAGGTACCCACCTGGAAGGGCAGTGCAGGAAAAGATTCCCCACCTGTGGGGGCAGGGGAGGAAAAGGTGCCCCACCTGTGGGGACAGGGGAGGAGAAGGTGCCCCACCTATGGGGGGCAAAGGAGGAAAAGGTACCTCACCTGTTGGGGCAAAGGAGGAAAATATACCTCACCTGCGAGGGCATTGGAGGAAAAGGTGCCCCACCTGTGGGGACAGGGGAGGAAAAGGTGCCCCACCTGTGGGGGCAGCAAGCTGAGCACAAGAGAGGAGCTGGGTCCAGCATGCGCCCGTCCCAGTCACACCCCAGGCACCTGCTCCATGCAGGCTCCGCCTCTGGGCAGCACGGTCAGGACTGAGTTTACTCATGTGGTAATCCTCCGATGAGGACAGTGCAGCTGTGTCCCAGTCACCTCTCAGCACATGAGCACTTTGGGGACAGTTTACATCTAAATCGGAACAAGTTTTTTATGTGTGTATGATAAGGTCTAAGGTTCCCCCCATACCCATCTCTTTCATGCACACACACACACACACACACACACACACTTCATCCCAGTGTTTTTTTGCCTTTCTGAAGTTCCAGGTTGCCTTTGTTACCGTTTCTTTCTAATGTGGAGAATTTCCTCTAGCCATGCTTTAAGTAACAAATTCTCTTAGTTTTTCTTTGTTTGAAAATAATTTCATTTTTCCCTGAAGGATGTTTTTCACCAGATACATAATTCATGTTGGACAGGTTTCTTCTTTTAGAACTTTAAACATGTGTTTTCATTTCTGCTAATCTCCATGGTCTCAGCTGCGAAATCTTTTGAATTTGTGTAGCTTTCCAAGGAATGTGTCACTTCGCTTTGGCTACTTTTAAGATTTCACGTCTTTTTTTTTTTCTTTCTTCTTCTTTTGTTTTCGGAATTTAATTATTAAGTGGCCTGACAAGGGATCCTGTAAGTGTGCTTTTGAGGGATTCACTTATTCAGTGTCTTAAATTTGTAAGTTTATGTCTTTTGCCAAATTTAGGATAATTTCAGCTATTTCTTGGAGTGTCTATTTCAATTGCTTTTTCCTATTTCTACCTTTTCAGATGTCAGTAGCTCTGTTTCCTCGGAGACCCAGAGTCTGTGCTTTTTGTTGTGCTTGTTGCCGTTATTGTCCGTGCTGGGTTAGTCTGCTCCAGTCATCCTTAGCTTCACTGGTTCCATTTCATAGCTTATCCACTGTGTGATTAAATCCATCTAGGAATTAAAACATTTCTGTTATTAAATTTCTCAGCTCTACATATTCTATTTCTTTTGGTGGATTTCCTTTTGTACTGGTTCACAAATAAATTGTATTGCTTATTAAGCATCTTAATGGCTGCCTTAAAATCTTTGTTAGATAATTCCAACATTAGATTCTTTTTAGTATTGTCACCTGGGGATTCCCTTTCCTCATTTCCTAATTTTGGTATCGTGAATGATTTTCAAGTATATCCTCATTATGTTAGACGTTGTACTGTGATATTGTGGACAGTGTTTAACCCTCATATTTTAGAGAGTCACTGTGGAGGTGTAGCCTGTGGGCGAGGTGGCTGTGTGTGTGCTTTCTGTTGGATTGTGCCCGTGCCCTCCTGAAGGGTGTGGAGCGCCATCCTGTGCTGCTTGCAGGAGCCGAATGCAGGTCGGTGCTCCTATTTTTCCTGCAGATACCTTCCTGTGAGAGGTGCCCCAGCGTCTGTCTCACTACCTCCTAACAGGTGTGAGTGCTCTCGGGTGGGCCTCACTGGTCCGGGGAAGGCTGAGCGAAGGACTGATTCCCCCTGCTGCGTTGCTGCGAAGGCGGGGTGGAAGCTGGTCTTTGCTCAGTCCTACTGGCAGCGCTTTGGTCTCTGCTCAGTCCTACTGGCAGCGCTTTGGTCTCTGCTCAGTCCTACTGGCAGCGCTTTGGTGGGCGGAGTGGAGTACTGCCTGCCTCTGCAAGTGGAGCATGGCAGATCAGGTTTCTGCCTCGTCCCACTGAACCTATGTGGAGAGGGAGGCAGTGTTGCCCTTGGACTTCGGCCGGAATCCAGTGGAATTGCTGGTCCTCTTGGGCCGCTGTGCTTCTTGGCCTTTGGTCGAGGGAACAGGCTTTTTCTGAGCATTCTTGGTCTGTACTTCTCAATAGTTCATATTGGAGCCCTCTCCGCTGTCCCATCCTGGATGTGTGTCAGACAGTAAGGAAACCGAGCTGTGCTGTTCCTCAATTCCAGAGGTTTTTGGCCTGCCTGACCTTTTCATTATAAGTTGTAGACTTTCTATACTTTTTTTTTTTTTTTTTTAATATTTGTTGCATTATGTCAAGGTTTTTTTTTTTTTAATGTATTTAGTACAGGGTCTACAGGATTTCACTACATAGATCAGACTCATAGTGATCCACATGTTTTTCAGCCCCCCAAGCGCTGGGATTATAGGCGGGCACCACCATACCCAGTCTCAATCTCTGCCTCAGTGCACCTCAGGGGCGAGACTGGCACAGCAGGCCTGGGGGTCAAACCCTTGGCCCCTGCGTCTGCCTAAGCAGGTGCTTTAGTCCGCTGAGCTGTCTGGCTGGCCCACTAGGGTTTTTTCATAGTGGGAGAAACTGAAAGAAATAGAGCTACTCAACCTCGACCAGACTGCCTTATCATAAATGGAAAATTATTATATGTTTTTTTAAAATTGTAGGTTGTTGTTGGGGATAATTGAAACTAATGTAGAATTGAATCTTTTGGTAAAAATGCATGTCTAAATCCTACATATCTTTTGCTGTACCATAGAATTCAAAAGCAGGAAGTGGAGGAAAATCACAGATTACTTGGGATAATCCTAAAGAACTAGAAGGTTATATCCAAAAACTCCAAAACGCTGCTGAACGACTTGCCACGGAAAACAGAAAGCTGCGGAAATGGCACACTACATTTTGTGAAAAGGTATGTATGCTTTGTTTATGAAATAGACTTGGCTGTGTATGGTATTATTAAAGAATAATTAGGATATTATTTAAAAGAAAACTTACTTGAAAATACTTTGAAACTTAAGGATGAAAGTAGTATCATATTCAATTCTTCACTCAGTGTCCCTTGATGTCAATAAGTTCTTTTTTTTTTTTTGTGGTACTGGGGATTGAACTCAGAACCTTGTGCTTGCCAGGCAAACAATTATTCTACTGAGCTATCTCCCTGGCCCCAATAAGTTCTGAAACCATAGCATAGGTACCAAAACCAGGAAATACACTTTTTTTTTTCTTTTAACATTCTAGCTGTTTCCACTACAATTCTCTTTTTTTTTTTTTTTTTTTTTGGATATAATCCAGCTTCTTATTTTGCATGTGGATGAGTCCCTATAGTCTTTCATTCATTAGTGTTTTCTTGTTTTTTATGACCATGATACTTTTAAATATTTTAATTTTTTAAAAAAATTTTTTAAAAGAGAAAACAAAATAGTACAAGTTAGAAATGGTAAAATGCTCCACATCACTAGCCATCTGCGAAATGCAAATTAAAACCACATTGAGATATCATCTCACCCCAGAAAGAATGGCTATCATAAAGAAATCACCCAACAACAAATGT